ACTACCGAGAAGGCCCTCTGCCTGGTTCCCTGTAGCTTTGATGAGGGAACTGCCAGAATGAGGGAACCGCCAGAAGGGGCTTGGCGCTGGACCTCAGCGTCCGGGCAGAATGATGGGGGTGGAGACGCTCCTTCAGGTACACTGGGCCGAGGCCGTTTAGGGCTTTAAAGGTCAACACCAGCACTTTGAATTGTGCTCGGAAACGTACTGGGAGCCAATGTAGGTCTTTCAAGACCGGTGTTATGTGGTTTCGGCGGCCGCCCCCAGTCACCAGTCTAGCTGCCGCATTCTGGATTAGTTGTAGTTTCCGAGTCACCTTCAAAGGTAGTCCCACGTAGAACGCATTGCAGTAGTCCAAGCAGGAGATAACTAGAGCATGCACCACTCTGGCGAGACAGTCCGCGGGCAGGTAGGGTCTCAGCCTGCGTACCAGGTGGAGTTGGTAGACAGCTGCCCTGGATACAGAATTGACCTGCACCTCTATGGACAGTTGTGAGTCCAAAATGACTCTCAGGCTGCGCACCTGGTCCTTCAGGGGCACAGTTACCCTATTCAGGACCAGGGAGTCCTCCACACCAGCCCGCCCCCTGTCCCCCAAAAACAGTACTTCTGTCTTGTCAGGATTCAACTTCAATCCATTAGCCACCATCCATCCTCCAACCGCCTCCAGGCACTCACACAGGACCTTCACCGCCTTCACTGGTTCTGATTTGAAAGAGAGGTAGAGCTGGGTATGATCTGCATATTGATGGACACCCAGTCCAAACCCCCTGATGATCTCTCCCAGCGGCTTCATATAGATGTTAAAAAGCATGGGGGAGAGGACGAAACCCTGAGGCACCCAACAAGTGAGGGCCCAGGGGTCTGAACACTCATCCCCCACCACCTATAGCTTCCATTATTCCTGACCTCTGGCCATGTTGGCTGCACCTCATGGAAGTTGGAACCCATTTGAAGAGTCATCCTTTGGGGATTTATAATGAATTGAAAAAAGTGTTGAAAAACACATTTATTAAAAAACCAGAAGCCTTTTTACTTGGTATAGTGGGGGGTGAAATCCCCAAAAAGGATGTTACTTTTTTTCTGTATGCCACAACAGCTGCGGGAATATTGTTACCAACTATCGAAGAATGGCAGATGAAGATGATGGACTATATGGAACTTCCCGAACTGACCGGGAGACTCCGAGACCAGAGAGAAGAGACGGTGGAAGAAGACTGGAAGAAGTTTAAGGAATATTTGAAAAAAATATGTAAATATTTAAACCTTAGAATAGCTTTGGAAGTGGATATAGGCTATAGGGTTAGAAGTAGAAGATACAGTATTTTAAAATAGTATTATTTGTAAGTGATAAAATGTGAAGTTATTTTAAGTGTGATTAAAAAAAAGATGGTTAGAAATTATGATATATGTAAACTGCTAAGGTAAAGGTAAAGGGACCCCTGACCATTAGGTCCAGTCGTGGCCGACTCTGGGGACTTTATTGGCTGAGGGAGCCGGCGTACAGCTTCCAGGTCATGTGGCCAGCATGACTAAGCCACTTCTGGCGAACCAGAGCAGTGCACGGAAACGCCAGTTACCTTCCCGCCGGAGCGGTACCTATTTATCTACTTGCACGTTGGCGTGCTTTCAAACTGCTAGGTTGGCAGGAGCAGGGACTGAACAACGGGAGCTCACCCCATCACGGGGATTTGAACCGCCGACCTTCTGATTGGCAAGTCCTAGGCTTTGTGGTTTAACCCACAGCAAAGATGAAGTAAAATGAAAATCAGATAGGTGGGACTTGGGGAAGCCCACTTAACAATGTTTAGAAAAATGAGGATATAACAAGAATTTGTTCGTATTGTTTGTCTTTTCTGTTTGTGTTTTTTATTTGTGTTATAAAATGACTAAAAAATTGGGGGGGGGGTGAAGAGTCACCCTTTGGATGGGGGTCAGGGAGCCTTACTCAGGGCTATGACTGGCAGTCTGATAATGCTTTTTTCCTATTATTTCTTAATGAAGGGTAGCAGAGTCAGAGGCAGGAATGTGAGTCAGAGGTAGGAGACAGTGGGTTGGAGAGAAGACAGGAGGTGTCATTAAGGGAAGTAGAATCTCTGTATCTATTCCTCCCAAACAGAGATGAAGCATTATGAAAACTAGCTGTCCTTCTTTTCAAGCTGATAGAGAAGCACAGAAATGTCCCACCCTATGGCCTATGGCTTTAACACAGGGATGGAGATGGGGAACCTTCGGCCCTCTAGATTATGATGGACCACAATTCCCAGCAGCCCCAGCTAGCACTGCCAACAGCCAGGAATGTTGGGAGTTGGAGACCAACAACATCTGGGAGCCTGCTTTAGAATAATAAAATCATAGAACAGAAAAACCGCTTAAAGGGCATTTATCCTGAGATTATGATGTTGCTTGCACAAGATGCCTTGAAGGGGATAGGATCTGCCCAAGAGCCATTGAATCTTAGAGTTGGAAGAGGCTCAAGAGTCATCTAGCCCAACCCCCGGCAGTGTAAGAATCTCTGCTTAAGCACCCAAAGGTACTGGGAAATAACAAAGAGCTTCTTTTCAAAACAGCTAAAGAAGTGCAGATTCAATTTTTTTCCAAGAGTAGAAGTCTGAATACATGGCAACAATCTTTTAAAATGCAGTCCGTCATAGGAATGCAGCAAGCCTAAACCCACTTACTTGGGAGTAAGCCCCATTTGAATTATGGTGCTGGAGGAGACTCTTGAGAGTCCCATGGACTGCAAGAAGATCCAACCTCTCCATTCTTAAGGAAATCAGCCCTGAGTGCTCACTGGAAGGACAGATCCTGAAGCTGAGGCTCCAGTACTTTGGCCACCTCATGAGAAGAGAAGACTCCCTGGAAAAGACCCTGATGTTGGGGAAAATGGAGGGCACAAGGAGAAGGGGACGACAGAGGATGAGATGGTTGGACAGTGTTCTTGAAGCTACCAGCATGAGTTTGACCAAACTGCGGGAGGCAGTGGAAGACAGGAGTGCCTGGCGTGCTCTGGTCCATGGGGGTCACGAAGAGTTGGACACAACTAAACGACTAAACAACAACAACAAGCCCCATTTAATTCAATTGGGTTACTTCTGAGTAGACACAGGATTGCACTATAGCTGAGTTTTCCATCCCAGGCTTCAGATAGTGGGAACAGCCCTGCAGGATGTGTGTCAACCTGCAACACACAGTGGGCAGCTGTGCCAACGGTTTGCAAGACACTTTGAGGTTAAAGTCAGCTGAGCAAATTCATCACCAAGATTCAGTGTTTACTCATAGCGACCAGCCTTACCACAGTGTAAAAATAGAACTTTTCTGAATTATTTCTTCTCCTTTTTTCTGAATTGACTTTTGCAATATATAGGGTGGTTTTTAAACAGGCGTCATCAGCACATACATACAGCCTGGTAGTGATTCCTTAAGAGACACAGCAACAACTACTAAAGCCACAACATGATGTTCACCAGCGGTGGGATGCATTAGAGGAGGTGTCCCACATTAATATTTAGGTTACATTTGCAGACCAGATTTTGCTGTTCATCTGAACCTTTTTTCAAGTGTCTGCTTTTAACACACCCACACACCTCTTTGTCCAGAACTGCCTACCTTAATGGTTCTGTCTCATTCGGTTAGTGGTTTTATTATCTTGTCAGATATTTTTTCAATATATGAAAACTAAATGAAAATTTGCAGGATCCCAGAGTGGTTACAAAGGACCTGGAGACGCCTTCATAATACTGGGTATGTAGAATCGACTTTAACTTAAATATCCATCTTTCTGTGTCTAGAAAAAACAAATTATCAAGCTGTTATTGAGAATTTCCCCCTAGAATTAAAAATGGTTATGTTATGTCTTGCTTTGGGAAATGTGTTTGCTAAAAAGTGATTGCAACCAGCAAAAATGGGATTTGCTGCTGTTTTTGAGGCAATGGAGGCAAGTTTTAATGTATTGCTTCAGAGAAATACCATGTGAATGTATGTACTATATGACCCTGGGTGGGTGAGTTGCTCAGAAAAGTCTCAGAACAAACACAGTACTGTATTGGGGGAGGGGAGTATTTGATTACTATGGGGTGATAGTGCACAGTACTGGCATACAATATTAATTAGTACATGTCAGTATTTCACAGTTGATAAAATGCAGTAATATTCTGCATTCAGTGCAGGATGTTATTCAGTGGCTGGCACTCGTGCAACAGAATTTGGCAAATAATAATTTGTTAGATTTCATATCTGACACCACCCGGAACAATGAAAGCATATCAGTCTAAAGCTGTCAGATTTAGAGGTAAAACTTCACATTCAAAATTTGAATGTTGATTTTGAATTTCACGTTCAAAACTTGAGTGGTGAAATGGAAATTTGGCAAATCTGAAGTATTAGCATTCTCCCTTTTTTTGCGTTTTAATCTTTATTGGTTTTTAAAAGACATCACAGTAATCTTTCTCCATCAGAAATATACACAAAAGAAATACTGACGTGTTGGAAATAAAGTAAAGTTGTATAATGAAATTTTGATTTCAGATGTTTACAGTGATCTTTTAGGTATTGTCTATATTTATCCCACTCTCTGTTAAATTTTTGGTCGTCATGGTTCCTGATTTTCCCTGTTATTCTTGCCATCTCAGCGTACTGAAATAATTTCGTCTTCCATTCCATTTTTGTCGGTATATTATCTCCTTTCCGGCATTGGGCTAATAGCATTCTCATGGCCGTGGTTACATACATGAATAACGTCCTCAAATCTTTCGGTATATCTACGCCTATAATACCTAGGAGAAAGGCTTCAGGGTTTTTTTGCGAAGGTTAATTGAAACATTTTTTTTAGCTCATTGTAAATCATATCCCAAAATTCCTTTATCTTTTTGCATTTCCACCACATATGGTACATAGTTCCTTCTATTTCTTTGCATTTCCGACACAAGTTAGAGCTGGTTCTGAAGTATTAGCAGTTTCAATCATATCATTCAGGAATATCTGTTCATTATTAATACAGGATGGAAGTCTGGACTTACTTTCAAGACATTCTCTTCCCAAGGATACAAGAATTTGCCACAGAAGCTTGGCTTGCTTACTCCAGACCTCTGCCATCAAGCCACAACCAGCTATTATCTCTTTTTCTGATGTGCTGTTGCATTGCTGCAGCCATTGGAGGACTCTTCTACAACTGGATGTTTTTCTCACTGCAATATTCTTTCCAGTTCTCTGCCGCAGCTGCTTCAGCCATTAGTTTTCTGGCCCTGTTGACCCTCTTCTTGATGCACCCTATCCGTTGCATGTTCACTATAATTGTGCCTACTTTAGGGACCAAGCAAGGGCGGAGGTTGCTCCTGTCTGCCACCTTCATGATTGTGGCTGTCAACATAGTGCCAAACATCATGAGCAACATCGAAACCATCCTGCAGGTCATCAAATGCATCTGCAAGAATTCCTCTGAGAGCCTTCTGAACTCAACAGTTCTCTTGGGGAACGCTTCGTGGGACTTCAGTGATGCTCTCAAACGGGTGACTGACAACATGCCGGACCAAACAGGGAGAGCTAGGGATGGCCATGTCTGGTTTGAAACCCACAACAACAACAATTTATTGAGTCAGAGAATTATCAGTGCCAGCCAAGGGATCAAAGAAGATTTCTTGCAAGTTGATGTGCTGGTCCAGAAGGTCATACTGTTGGGTAACCGGGTGATTGCTGGCTTCTTCCTCTTCTATCTGATATTTGAGTCTGCTTGGTACCTAAAGAGCTACCTCACAGATCTCCGTTTTGACAATGTTTACATCACCAAAAAGCTAGAAGATTTGGCTCGGGAGAACAAAGCAACTCACCTGCTAGTTTGTTCACCAAAGAAACTGATCAAGTCCACAGGATTCAAGCTATCCCGAGAGGAACTCCTTTCTTGTGTAATGCACCTTTTTCTTCTTACCTTAGTGCTCATGTTGACACTAGTGATCATAGCAACGGACTATATCGCCTTCCATTTGGCACAAGCGGCTGTGACCGAAGTCGCCCAGTTCCCTGTTGTGCCAATAGTCATCTCCATAAAATATGAGGTGAGTATGGAAGCCTCTACCTTGGCATTTTCAAGCGAAAGGATGCAAGCTGCCAATGCAAATCAAGATTTTGCTTGAATGCTCCTGCAGTCAGAATTATAAATGAAACAACCATAGCATGGTTAAAATTAACCCTGCCTCCTATTCAAAACATGGTACAGCAGTACATTGGTTCTCAAACACCTTGGTACTCAAACAACTTAGAATCCAAACACTGCAAACCCAGAAGTAAGTGTTCTGGTTTGCGAACATTTTTCAGAAGCCGAACGTGCTGCGTTTTGAGTGCCATGCTTCCGTTTTGCGGTCTGTCTGCTTTTGCTGCTTATTTTGCATTTTTGTGACTTTTTTGTTTTGTTTCTGTGACTGTGTGGTACCCAGTTCAGCAACTGATTGATTGATTGATTGATTGATTGTGTGACTGCAGTACATTGTTTATTGCTTTCATTTTATGGATCAGTGGTCTTGTAAGATGGTAAAATTCATGTTAAATTGCTGTTTTAGGGGTTGTTTTTAAATGTCTGGAATGGATTAATCCATTTTGCATTACTTTCTATGGGAAAGCACGTCTTGGTTTTGGAATGCTTTGGTTTTGGAACGGACTTCCGGAATGGATTAAGTTTGAGAACCAAGGTACCACTGTATTAATTTGGATGACAAGTGATGTGTAGGGACATAAAAGGTCATCATGTGATTCCTGCAAATGCAGGTTGGAATTGGTCATCTTTCACATTCACCATAGCATTAGGCCCTGCATTATCACACCTCATTTCAATTTCAGAAGAATAGGGGTCCAAACTTGAAAGTTGCATTTTTAAGCTGCAGTATCACAGGACTTTCAACTAAAGAGTAGTTGGAACTATTCAAAAGCAATTACCGTATTTTTCGCTCTATAAGACGCACCAGACCACAAGACGCACCTAGTTTTTGGAGGAGGAAAACAAGAAAAAAAAATTCTGAATCTCAGAAGCCAGAACAGCAAGAGGGATCGCTGCGCAGTGAAAGCAGCAATCCCTCTTGCTGTTCTGGCTTCTGGGATAGCTGCACAGCCTGCATTCGCTCCATAAGACACACACACATTTCCCCTTACTTTTTAGGAGGGAAAAAGTGAATCTTATAGAGCAAAAAATATGGTAATTTAGGTTAGCTGTTGGTCAATTTCCATGGAAAGACATAAAGACTGCACACTTTATGGGGGTGGGGGTGGGTGAAATGTAACTCTTAAGTCCTCGATCCAGAGACTTTAATCTCACTTCAGTCCCTCTGAAATCAGTGGGAGAACTTGCAAAATCCTAAGGTTCCTAAGCAAGTTCACTCAGAAGTAACTCCTCTGAACCTATTTTACAGATTTACTTTCTATAAGCATAAAAACAACACCAGAGAGCATGGTTACACTTAAATGACTAACAATATTTTTAAAGGCATAGTAGGTTAGACTTTATCAAATGCATGAATATGAGACATGGTTGTACATGGACTGAAACTGTAAACAGTGAGGCCAGAAGGAAAAGAAATATGGAAAAGTACAGATGATAATAATTACCTCAGTTTTAGCAGTAAAGCAGAATTTTAAAAGAGATCTCTGTATGATTTAGGATTGTAGCTAGTCCTGAGCTAGCCTTGAGTAAGTTGTCCAAATGATTTTGATAGCATGTAAATATGACTAACTTTCTAAGGACCTTGCAGCTTATAAGATTTTAAGCTTATAAGAGTAATTTTCCACTGTTTCATATCCATCTGCCATATCAGAAAATATCAGGGCAGTATAAAACAATTAAACACAGAACACACTTAAAAATCATCATCATCATCATCATTAAAGTGACTGGCTGATTTAAACAGCTGCTGGAATTTTTTTTTAAAAAAAGCTATTCCTGTGAAAGAGGAAAGCAAGAATGCCTGCTGAATCTCTACTGGAAGAGCATTCCACAGCATGGGATCAGAAATACTAAATGCTCTGTGTGAGTTTCTGTATTTCTACTGAATCATTCTCTTTTATTCTTTCAGGCGAAGCTGATTTTTGTGCCATTTTTGGAATATATTTTTAACGGTGCTTTTTCTACAGAGCAGTCCTTGCCTCCGTTTGAAAGGAGCTATCATCAGAATCTGACCTTTGTCTCTGCTAACTGCCCCATGAGGTGGCCAAACCCTCCCAACAAAGCTGTGGTCCTTGCCGTTGGGCTCCTCTATTGCATCATTTATACCATGATCTTTTTGGAAACATACTCACGTCGGCTGTGCCGGAAAATTTCAGCCTCCTTTTTCAACAGCCAAGAAGACCGGAGAGTTCAGTACCTCTACAGGAAACTTGTTGGGAAACACAAGAAAAAGAATGGACACCAGCAGAAACCAACCACACCGTCTTAAATTGCTTCCACGGAGGGGATGGAATTGTGTTACTATGCCAGGAGGTTTTTAGACTTTGCACTAGCAAAAACAGAGCATCCTCCTCCTCTCCCCTGGAGACCCCTAAATGCCCTCAAAATCAGCCCCAAAGTATTTGGGGCCCCTTTGAAGAAGATTTGGGGAGAAAAGGGGAAACAGAAGTGGTGCTGGACTCTACCGGCACAGCTTTTGTTTCTTGGAAACAAAGGGAGAGATTCAATGTCACACTCTTCTTATTGCTCCACCAGTGCAAGCATTTTGCTCTGTCAGATGGAATGATCCCCCTCTCCTCCAGGGGTTCTCCTGACCCCCTGAGCCAATTTCAGGGGGTTGGGAGGGGAGCATTGCTCAGAGCCTCCACCGACAAGACTCATTGGTTGAATCCTGCCCCATGAAACCCTTTGTTTCTGTGAGATTCAAAAGCTCAGAGTGAATTGATTTTCAGATAAACACCATGGCCGAAAATGGCACTCATGTATACAGGGAGGTGATTTGCTATTTGACCTTTAAAGGGCTAATGCTACATTATGGAATGTTATGTTCTCTCGCTAAGTGCCACTGTCTGCTTTTTGCCTCCTTTGTTCATTGCTAATGGCTGGTGGTTTGCTCTGCAGCACCTTGTTCTGACAAAACAGACAAGCGAACAAACCTTCCTTTTTCAATCCAGAGAGAATGCAAATCCACAATGTGCCTGTTCCCAAATGCAAATAACCAGACACTGGGGGGACGGGACAATATGCCTAGTTTTGAGTACATTCACCCTATCTCCCAAATTGCCAATCGTTCGTTCCCCACAGCTAGCAAAATGCACCAGCGGCAGATGGGCCCCACTCTCTTCTGTGGAAGGTAAGAGGCAGCAAATGAGCTTTGCTTGCAGGAATCATTCATCCGTAGGATCACAGCCCATACATTCCAAGATTATCATATTAGAATGTCCAGTAAAGTGAGATCACATTTTTGCCAAATGTATTAAAATAATGATATCATCATCATCAGATTTGTAAGATTTATCCTCTGATTGCACCCACTCAAGTTTAGCTAATTGGTTCATGGGCACAGAAGTGATGGTAAAAATAAAATCAGTTATTATTGTAATGTTTGCATTTATGGCACAAGCTTAGGAGATTTCTAGAGGTAGGAGAAGATTAACTGCGCTACATTTCCAGTGTGGTCAACAGAGTTATCATCACATAGCAGGTGTATTTTATCTGGCCATGATATATAGAAAAGCCTTCTTTTAAGATAAAATCAGATTGCAAGTTTAGCAATTCTTTGCAGTGTAATTCCAGAGAATCTTTAAATCTGGGTAGCTCTGGAACTTATGCATGGAAGGATGATTTCTAGCTCGGGGACATATTTTTAGCTTGTGTTGCGATGGTTTGTAATGCCGTGGGTATGAAATTCAGGATTGCATTTGTAAGGAACAAGTCAGTGCCTTGAGTAAGGTAACAAGTCATCATCCTTATCTCAGAGTGATTCATTTGATAGTATTTCCCCCTTGACTGAGCATTGCTGAATGTGCAGCTGGAGCCTATTGCAAATGGAGAGAAGCTCATGCTAGAGAGAGATCAACAGAGCTGGCAAGACAAGAGCCTTGGGGTGAAGAGGTTTCAGGCAAAATAGCCATTAGAGCACTAGCAAAGGATTTTGGTGCATGTGGGGTTTTGCAGCGGGGCGGGGGCAGAAAATATATTAGATTGTGCCCAAAGTCTCAACATGATAATCCAGGAAAAGTGTGAGCACTCGGATAACAACCGGCTGGGTTCATTCTACTTCTGTTGGTGCTGACCTTTAAAGCCCTAAACGGCCTCGGTCCTGTATACCTGAAGGAGCGTCTCCACCCCCATTGTTCAGCCCGGACACTGAGATCCAGCGCCGAGGGCCTTCTGGAGGTTCCCTTATTGCGAGAAGTGAGGTTACAGGGAACAAGACAGAGGGGGCCTTCTCGGTAGTGGCACCCGCCCCGTGGAACGCCCTCCCATCAGATGTCAAGGAAATAAGCAGCTATCTTCTCTTTAAAAGACATCTGAAGGCAGCCCTGTTTAGGCAAGATTTTAATATTTAATGCTATATTGTTTTTAACACTCAATTGGGAGCCGCCCAGAGTGGCTGGGGAAACTCAGCCAGATGGGCGGGGTATAAATAATAATAATAATAATATAATATATATATATTATTATTATTATTATTATTATTATTATTATTATTATTATTATTATTATTATTATCTGCCATCAACCTGGATGAGGAGCAGAATGCCTCTATGTGGGTCCAACCAGGAAAGGCTTAAGCCTTTTATTTAAAGAAAAATAAATCCATTTATGCTCGGTCTAATGGCAAAACAAACAGGAGTTGGGATAGCCATCCATAACACAGACAAGGATGTAAAAAGAACAGTAGGCATCAGGCAGGGCAGGAGTAAGCTGTTGGGGTGCAGAATGTGCTGAGGCAATTCAAACAAAGTCCTGATTCATACGAGCTGCTGCTGTGTGGTTGCTCTGTCAACATGATTAGGTACTTATGTTGCAGTGCAAGTGCTTACACAGCCGGGAGCGGTGTGGTTCGGAGAGATGATGAAACTCTGGCCCATATCACCACCACGGCTGGACCCCAGGCAGCTGCAACACTGGCATGGAAATTTGTCATCGGACTCATGTGGTTTTTGGTTACCGATGGCATGGGGTAGGAAACTGTCCATGGGAGAAATATAACCACACCTCCACAATCGATATGCACTGACCTGACAAGGCTACCCAAGATTCAACCAGGTTCAATCAATACACCAGAATTGGGGAATGACCAATTAAGAAGGTTGACATCTAGTCCATTGGGCTATGTTGTAAAATGCCCTGCGATCCTCAGATGAAGGGCAGTATAGAAATGAGAGAGAGAGAGAGAGAGAGAGAGAGAGAGAGATTTAACATTGAGGATATTGTTAATAACTTAGATTCAGCTTCAGCCAAAAAAATTAAAATATGAAAAAGTAATCTTCTTAGATATAAGGATTTTTGTCTTTTAGATCAAAAGAACCTCTTGGTGTATGTTAGGGGTAAAAGAAAAGAAGTCTCATCCATGGTTTGAATATTTTCAAAATTGCGCAGCCTTAGCAAAATATCCATTTTTTTCTTTTCCGTTGTGGCAGAATTCAAAAAGCTCACATTGAAAAAACAGAAGGCAACTGTTTTCAAATATTAGCAAAGTGTTGCTAGGTTAGGATAACTGAACCAGAGCAAATTCAATATTATATATTAAAGTGGGAGCAACATTTAGGAGGAAACATTCCAATGGCTATGTGGGAAAGATTCTGGAATCAAAGCCCATAAAATCACCCAAAGCTGATGCTGGAGAAACCAATAAATGTATGTGGTTTATATTTATGATCATTGAAAAAAATAGATTTTTTTATGCTGATCTTTGTAATTTTATTTTATACCATAATAAAACGTTTTTGGAAAAGCAGCTGCGACTAGGCTAAAGTGAAACCAATCAATGGAAACAACAGCACAAAATCCTTTTTAAAGCTGGAAAACCGAGGTCCTGGCCTCCTTTCACCATTTTTGTCATTGTCAAGGGCATTTTCCCTTCTTCACAGATAAGCTATCTAATTGATTTGGCAATTTATTCCTATTATGAATAAAATGTTTCTGACTGAATCGGACTCTCTCTCCAGAATGTCAGCAGCAATCCAAGTTGCCGCGAAGGGCCTGTTCCATCCGATTTACGTAATATAACCGGATGCCATTCCAATCACATATGCGCAAGCGACAAACCCCATTAGCTTCAGGCACATTAGGAAAGATAAAACGCTGTAAGAGACGCCCCGGGAACTTTCATATGCCTTCCTAAGGAAACTGCTGCTGTAATCATTTCCATACGTTTCTGAGCTCTGCACCTATTGTTAGCTTTCTTCGTGTGACATTCTTTTCAGATTCACAGGGCTTTCAGTTCTGGGACTTCCCTGAGATTCTTGGAAGAAGGGGAAAGTCCCTTGCATTTGTCAGCCAAATAGTTAATTCTGCTCCCTTTGGCTCACTGAGACCAGTGTCAAATTTAGGGTGGTGTGGGCGGTTGCCCCACAAAGGGCGCCAAGTCAAGGGGGGGTGCAAGATCATCATCAACAACAACAACAACAGTAATAAAATGGATTATTTGCAAAATAAGAATTGCAAACTTCTGTCATCTCTCGCGGTGCCATAATATCAAAGTCTGCCCCTGCTGAGACCAAGGGCGGATCTGCACTCATGGTTTTTTAAACTTAACAAAGGTTTAAGGAATGGTTTTCATAGCATAGATAGACACATGACATCCTACTTTTAATGTTCATAATGTGTTATTAAAATGTGACACCAGAGAGCAACCAGCAATCAGGAGCCATCATTTTGACAGAGAAAACAAACTTAAGAATCACTTTTCATTTACAAGTATGGGCTGTGACATTTTAGAACGGTATATCTAATATCGTTCTAATGACGTTAAACAGGTCAGTGTAGATCCAGCCCAAGTTTGCAGCATAAAAACAGCCCATTCTTTGCAAACCATAACCCAGTCTATTAGCATAAGAAATTCAAGGAAACCAAATCTCTTTAAAGCCTTGAGTAAGAAACTAGAAAAATTCAAGGTAAAGTAGAAAAGGAATCCCTCTAGTTAGGTTTGTAAAACGACACAAATGAAGTAGGAATAACTGCAGAGTAAATCAGCAACAGAGAAATTGTGCACTAAGTACTGGAATAGTCCCCTCCCACACTCTAAATTAAGAAGGGGTGAATCTCAAATGCAGCCCACATTTTTGGTTTGTTTGAAAATATGTGGTTACGTGCCTTCCCCCTCGGGGATTTATTTATTTTCCTTTATCTTAAATGCCACCTCCAAAGTGGCAGTAACATTAATTACATTTTTTTTTTAAGCTGGCTTTAAAAATCCCCACAAATCTCAAGAGAGCTAAAAAGGGTAGTGGTAATTATAAGTAAGAACAGCAGATTGCT